TGGATTGTTGACGTTAAAAATTACCGTAATCGGGGCTCAGTCGTATAAAAACGTTTCATGGATTTGCGTTTTATTATCGAAAAACATTGGCTAAAACTCATTTTTCTTAACAAATAATAAATCAAATTCAAGTTTAAATGCACTTTATGACATAATTTTTAAATTGTCACTATTAATATTTATTTTTTAATGAATAACCTGTAAAGTTAATTCTACAATTTCTGAAAAATCACCTAAAAGTAACCTTTTCATAAGTGTAACCTAAAAGTAACCACAGCAGTTCAAAAGTAACCAAAAAGGTTACAAAAGTAACCTTCTGGCAACACTGGAATGAGAGTAGGGTATCGTGTAGGGTAGGGTGTTGGTGATTTGTGATTGTCTTCGTCTAAAGATTACAAAATAAATTTACTTTTACATGAAATTTTGTGGAGATGCAACAAGTAAATTGTAGTATTCAACAAATCCCTTGCAGTGCAGAAGGTGAAAACAATTTCAAAACTAAATACTCACGAGTCTCCAAGCCAGTTGTGGAAGTTTATCACTCCTTCTGTAGTATTTGCAGAGAAATTGGGGAAAACATCACCAAGTAAAAGCATTTTAGGTTAGCTAACCGCCACGAAAACTGTGGGTATTCAATGGATTAAACGTAATTCGTAGCTTTAGCGTAGCTAAAGTTTGGAAGAGGAACTGAAAATCTGACCACTGAGTTGTCGGAAAGGAAACAATGAAAGACTCCTTCTTTTGTTTTGCTTTTCCACAAAAACGAAGGACGAAGCAGAAGTTTACATTGCAACGCCGGATACTAGTGATGTCTACTCCATAGATATGAATAAATAAATGAAATGAAGACACGAGAGTCACGATACTCACGATAGAATGCTTGTCAATCCTTTATCGAAATTCTTGTTTAATAATGAATTTATAATAATAATTCCTTCCTATACCTATAAAATTAGCGTATTTTAATATCTTACTAATAATAAATACGAAACTTTGTATGATACTACTGAACGGATTGTGATGAAACTTTACAGTATTATTTTTTATAGCCCCCCCCCCCTATTAAATATCATACAGACATCATTCTTTTTTATTTGAAATTTAATTTCAAGGGCTTACTTTTACTTATACCTAAACAAAAAATTTAAATTTCATAAAATTTTAATTTGTGTTTGATTACAAAATCGCAAAAATGTTAACTTAGTATGGAGTATTTTTTTCTGTGAAATTCAATCAATTTGAATCAATTAATATTACTGTACTACCACCGATTATCGAATAATTTATCTATTATAAGGTATCCCAATTTATTATGCAATTTTAAATGTGGGAATGTTATTTTAAATTTAAAATTGAAATAATTTATAATTGAAATAATAAAGCGTTATCAAAATTGACGTGTACGGCGATGTGGCATTGCACCACTATTAGGGTATTTCGCCGAAACAGTAAATTTTCTGTGTCCAGGCAGGCGAACACATTCATGTTTTTAAACTACAAATAATACCGCAGAAAAACTTAATCAAAAGTCGTTTTTCTAATTTCCTTGTTATGTCCATTACTCTTGTTTGCCAAAATGAAGGCACATTATAACAAATTGAAGTGTAATTAATTCATTCTTATACCACTCTCTTTATATTTGAGAAACGTTTGGCTATCGGAAAATAAAAACTTTAAATGTCAAATACTTAAAGGAAGGAAATAAAGTGAAGTTAAGCTCTTGTCCGAGTCAAAAGTATAATTTCCCTGGGTCTTCTTTTCGACCATTGTAGTAACGAAACGAAAGAACTTAGAATGTAATGCACTGCACCGTTACACTCTGCTATTTCGTCCCAAGAAGCCATCGAGGCAGGACAGTACTTCGTTGATCAGTTTCGCGACAAATCGCATAAGTAGGTCCCTCCTTGGGATTTTGTTTACTAAAATGTCAAATTTTTTTTGACGGTTTTTTGCAGCTAAACAATGGATTAATTTTATTGTTTATTTACACAAATGTAGTGTCTGTAGGGGTAAACCCATGATTTAAATAGTAAATGCATAGGGTAAATAGGTTTTTGTCTGTGGTGTCTTTTAGGCATAAATCTAATTTCTTTGGCCCTAACTTCCATTTTTTCCGTGGCATAAAATGGCCTAGGAAGTTATAAAAGACCATTTTTAATTCGGCGTAAAGTAAAATTTTGAGTATTTCTTTATTGGAATAAGTTTAAAATTTACATTTTTTAAGAAATGGGTATCAGAATAGATAGAACAACTTGTTTTTAACTCTTAACTCAATCTACTGAATTTATCTTCCTTAGTTGTGTAAAAGGTCGTAATGATACAATATTCATTGGTGTATATTTGCTTGCGAAGGTACACAAAAATGGGTCGAACAAAACAAAAAAGGAAACCACAGAAGAAAACTTAGAGGAAAAAAATATTTATAATAATTTCCTTGGCTACCAAAAATTCATGACCTTATAACTTTGTTTATAAAACGAATTATGACACCCCTTTTAGATATATTTGCTTAGTTTTTGCTACTTAATATTGGCAAAATTGACCATTTTTGGCGAAATACACAATAAATCATTACAAAACACTTTTTGTTTCAATTTAGAAGTTTTAGACTCACTGTGAAATAGCTAACTATATTATTTAATTAATTACTACATTTACAAATCACTTTTTTATTTCAATTAAGATGTTGTAGACTTTTATCAATCACAAAATCTAAGAAATACGTCTTTAAAAAGTACTAATTTATTACTGAAATAAAATAATTTTTATCGATATATTAACGAGTTCTTGATCAACACAAACATCCCTAAAATAATGACAACGCAAACGTCATTTTACAATAATGTTGCCGAAAAGCGCGGGAAACGTCAAGCTAGGCGGTTGTCTCAATTTTTGCTTTTGCTATTTTTATAAATTAACTAGTAAATAGAGATCAGTTAAGTAGTGGAGTGTAGTATATTTATGTTTATCTTTCTATTTATTTATTAGTTAGTGATTTTGGCAGTGCTCTGGTAAGTTTTTACCTCTTTCTCTGGTTACATGAACGACCCAGACGAACCTGGGGGCTCCGTCCCCCAGGTTTCGTACAATGTCACTATAGGTAATAATTATTCAGCATTAGATACTGAAAGTTCATGCACGGATGGCTCCGAACATTCTCAAAATAAATCCAAACGTTTAAAACGGGCCTCTGCACCTAGATTGTGTAAACACTGTAATAAAAAGAGGAGACGTCATCATAAAAGTTCTACAGTTCCTTCACTTGATACATGTGACTGTCACTCGGAATCTCATTCCGACATGCTAGTTCAACCAAAACAGCACTCGAACAAATTCAATACCTGAAATAATATATGATTTAGATATCCCTAAAAATTCTCTTGACGCTAAATATAAATTTAACTTAATTATTGAAGATAATTGGGCCGATTGGCATCATATATATAGCGATGCATCCAAACACTCCAACGATGGTGTGGTCGGAGTAGGGCTTTTCCATCATCAGTATGGTATTCATGAAAAGGTCAGATTACCTCCTGAAACATCAGTTTTTACCGGGGAGTGCTGTGGAATTTATAAAGCCATAGAATATGTCCAAATTATGAAACTGAAAAAAACAGTAATTTTTGTAGATTCTAAAAGCGCTTTACAAGCCTTAGGAAAATTTCCCTTTAAATGCAATAGTCAATACCCAATTGTAATCCAATGCAGAGAGTTGCTTCATAGATGTTCTATTTTGGGGTACAAAATAATCTTCGCCTGGATTCCGAGTCATAGCCACATTTTCGGTAATGAAAAGGCTGATAAATTTGCCAATGAAGCTGTTGTGAATGGTGATATGATTAGTTATAAAAATTACTGCCATGACCTTTTGTCCCTCCCTAAGTCCTACTTGCGTGAATCATGGGAATTGGATTGGGCGCACAGCAGTGCAACCAAAGGAAAATGGTACAAGCTCATTCAACCTACCATTCCTATAAAACCATGGTTTTTTAAAATGAAACTGGGAAAGATTTCTACCTCTAATATTATCCGTATGAGAATTGGCCATGCTTGTATACCTACGCATCTTTTTAGACTTAAAATTGTGAATTCTGATTTGTGTGAGTGTGGTACTGGCACAGGTGACTTAAATCATCTGTTTTTCACTTGTCCATTACATGACCGATCCTCTTTCATCGAATCCCTTAAATCTTTAAAAGTACCATTTCCTACTTCCATAGCCTGCCTCCTAAATATGCATGATAATATTGATATTTATAATACCCTTTCTGTATATATGAATAATAATAACATTAAAATTTAATTTTTATGTACATATCCTGTAACATTACTGTAACTGTCATGTAATTGTAACATAATATTTTATCATCCTGATTAAAATATTTTGTTCTCTCCTTTACTTTCCTGAACCTTTGCACATTTTTTCCGTTTTCCCTTTTTTTTTGTTTGTTTTACTTTCCTATACGTTTCCCTACCTTTACCTTACCTCGTCGTGGCTGACGCACAAGCCGTGCATGCCATAATAGAAAAAAAAAAGACAGACAGACAGACAGACAGACAGACAGACAGAGTTACTTTCGCATTTATAATATTAGTTGGGATAAATTCAATTGATCTAAGATTAAATAATCGGTAAACTAGTATAATTAAAAATCGATAATCATTATTGCGTTAACTTAATACCGTTTGCAGTTTGCAGTCATCTATTTATAAAATAGCAGAGAGAGGCGTTGTTGACTTGATTCATAGTTTCTTTCAGACAATGGAGATAGCCGCATTACGATTTTTGTATAACATAATATTTGTATATTTTTCTAGATAATGTACTGAAAAAATGCAAGAATAATGTTCCGATTGACTACTTATGATGACGATTTTTTTTTATTAGAATAAGTTGTCTTATTTGCAAAAAAATGAAACAGCTAATATTAAATTGAAATAATATCGATTGATAGTCAATCGATTTTATCGTGGGTTGACAATTTGTGAAATGTGCCCCACATCACTATTTAATCAATGGCGTCACCGTCAATGACCCAGCCCGCTACGTGATTATTGTAATTTCCAACTGTATTTACAACGTGTTGAAGTTAATTTTATAGTTTGATATTGTTATAACTTCGCAAGGTAAGTGTTATTCTAATTCTATAATGCTTTTGTTTTGATAAACCGGATATCTAACTAAAGTTGTGTTCCGACTCAACACAAAATGGACGTCAAATTGTATTGTGACGTGATTATGTAAAAAATAGTTATCAATATTTATTCAGACTCGAAAAATCTAAGAAATTAACCATCTATGTGCTTCATAAGTTCATAATACCAGTGATAATCTTTGTGTACACACCCACGCGAAAGGAATGCGAAGGTGTAGAAGGTAATGTCGGGTCGGGCCTACTATGGCAGCCTGTGATGGGGCATGGCGATGATTCGACAGGCTTGCGCTCGGGGCGCGTAGTGATAGTGCAAGCTGTGCTTAGTGGCGAAATTAATTATTGTTTTCATAGCTGAAACACAAGAGACACGCTGCTTTATTTACATGACAGTCAATAGGGTCAATGCCCTCGTTTATTCGTGCCCAAATCGTGTTAGTTTCTTGTTTTAGCTATGCGACTTATTTGGGACAGCTTGTGTTAACGTTAATATTAATAACTGATCATAATTGTTACATTCCTTGACTTGTTTACATACCAAGTTGAAAAGGTATAGGTTGTGAAATGCACAAACTGTCACCATGCTATTATTCTACAGTTGTAGGCTTAAAAACAATGTATGTTTCATTCATCAAAATGCACCTAATGCTAAATCAGCCATTGTTTTCCTGTTGTGACAGTGATGAGAATGTTTAATAAACAAAGAAGGTTTAATCCAAGCTTTGCTTATTCAGCTTTACCTGTTCCAATCTGGGTGCACAAATCTTAAAAATACTCCCTGATTACCTCCTTTTAGTATGAATGTATAGGAATTTTGCATACTCCACTGACTCATAGTCATGTTGATATTGCAGCATATTTTTCCAAACAGCAGGGGTGCTAAAAAGTGGCTGTCACTTAAATTTTTCATTAAAAGTAAATACCTACTTACATTGTTTTATTGTGAAGAGTGTTCCCATATTTAAAATATTTTTATGCTTATGCGAATTCACATACACAATAATATATGTATTATAGGGTTAACTCAATTCTAATTATATTTGAATGTCTTATCACAGAAATTAAACATTTAAACTATACTATTTATTTATAGGAAATTAATGCTCAGAACTATAAACAAAATGCTTTCTTTGATGGCTTCATAACATCACCACAGTCTCATTAATTAATTAGTTTCTAATGATTACTTAGTATTATTTGTTCATCAATATACAAAAGTATATTTATGAAACCAATTACTCAGAGCATTAATACCTATTTTATTAGTATGTAAACTTTTTGATTTCATATATATTTATCTTATTTTATTTATTATTTATAATGTTTCTCATGTTATTATTTTCTTATGACTGTTATGAATGCTAAGCTAAGCGACATTATTTGCTGCAATGTGTTTATAGTCTATTTCTATTTTGTTTTATCTGCTGCTGCCAATTATAACCATAATAAAGCTACATAGTTTATATTATAATTATTATCATCTTCTAAACGGTAGTTTCTTTTGTTACAGGCAACTTCATTAGTGTTGCTATGGTGAGCGAACTCTTCCAATATTCAAGACAAAGCTAGAAGTGACTATTAACTAAAATATTTGTTGTGAAGTTACCAAGTATTAGAATAAAATGCAGACTATCAAGTGCGTAGTTGTGGGCGACGGTGCTGTCGGAAAGACATGTCTGCTCATCAGTTACACGACAAACAAATTCCCCTCCGAGTATGTTCCCACAGTTTTCGATAACTACGCAGTTACAGTCATGATTGGTGGAGAACCATACACACTGGGTCTCTTTGATACTGCAGGTATGTTTTGTTCACTATATTTGTTGATATTCATGATTTTCATTTGTTAACTTAGACTTATTCGTTTCCCATTTTGTTTGCAGGTCAGGAAGATTATGATAGACTGAGACCATTGAGTTATCCCCAAACGGATGTTTTCCTTGTATGTTTCAGCGTGGTAAGCCCTAGTTCCTTCGAAAATGTCAAGGAAAAGGTAATTGTTATTCAATTACATTTATATTGTTGAAATAAATCATTGTTTTGTATCAAAATATTATGCTACGTGAGTTTTGCAATGCTCAATGCTATGAATGTTTCAGTGGGTACCGGAAATCACTCATCATCAGCAGAAAACGCCATTTTTGTTGGTGGGAACACAAATAGACCTGAGGGATGACCCAGCAACAATGGAGAAGCTGGCCAAGATAAAGCAAAAGCCCGTCTCACTAGAGCAGGGTGAAAAACTTGCGAAGGAGCTAAAAGCGGTCAAATATGTTGAGTGTTCTGCTCTCACGCAGGTATGCAGTATTTTTTGTTCACTACATGATATTTAAACTAATCTGGACTAAAAAGTGTTATAACTGGACTCCAATAGTGCTAATTCCTCGCAATTGCTGTTAACTCATTAAAAGACCAAAGTGTAAATAGTGAAAACAGTGAACAAAAATCTAACTGAAACCTAACCTCAAAATTTCAAAAAGTGTTAACGAATTTCTCTCTTTCGTGTGAAATAAAAACAATGTTTGGAAGAAATAGCTTTGAAAACGGATAATTAATAAAGTAGCAACAATGTCGAACAACGACAATATAGTAAAACCATCTTGTGAACCATCCAAATCAGTTCTTGTAAACAAACAACTTGTTCAACAAGTGTTCCATAAGGGGCTATTTGATATGGCTACTCGACCCAAAAGTAATTCAACTGGAGATATACATAAAATAGCAGGTCCTGAAACAATTACCAAACAAAATACAGATAACTGCAATATCCAAACAAATAATTGCCAGCAGTCCCTAGAACAAACAGTAAATCATCCCTCCTCCGAGACTAGCGGCGATATAATCAACCAAGCTAAAACACATCATATCCATTGGCAAAAAGTTCCAACAATGAACCACAAAAGAAATCGCTCCCCAGAGCAAGCAATTAGTACCCATAAGTTTCAGAAAAGAAGTGAAACTAGACAACAAATGTTCAACAAAAACAGAGCAACTGTAGAAACCACTAATAGTTTCTCCCTACTCAGTGAAGACGTAGACCAAGAAGAAAATGATATAATCAATACAACAATTCCCGCCAAGCCAAAGAGAATTTCAAAACCACCCCCCTATACACAGCGGACCTACCATGCAATACAGATGTAGTAACAGCGACATATGCAGATGACACCGCATGTCTTGCAAGTCATAAAGATCCGGCTTTGGCATCAGAAAAACTACAAAATCACCTGTATGAAATTGACGAATGGCTGGAAAAGTGGAGAATAAAGCCAAATGTTACTAAATCTCTACAAATAACGTTCACACTCCGCAAAGGAGACTGCCCAGCTGTAACGTTACGGGGGCAACAACTGCCTACAGAAAATTGTGTAAGATACCTGGGACTCCATCTAGACCGGAGGTTAACCTGGGCAACCCATATAAAAACAAAGAGAAAAGAAGCAGATTTACAATTTAAGAAGTTCTACTGGCTGATTGGGAGACAATCATCCCTCAGTTTAAACAACAAAATGCTGGTCTATAAATGCATAATAAAGCCTATATGGACTTATGGGATTCAACTCTGGGGATCTGCCAGTAATTCCAACCTTGAAATCCTCCAAAGGTTTCAGAATAAAACACTGAGGGCAATCTCAAATTCACCATGGTTCGCTAGAAATGTAGAGATACACGAGTACTTGGAGATGCCGACAGTCAGGGAGGAGGTGAGCAAATACTGTACCAAATATAAGGAAAGGCTAAAACATCACACAAACCAACTTGCTAGAGAAATTGTGGAACAAACCCACAAGACCACCACAAGACTGAAAAGATGGCAAATATTACAGTTGGACCAAAGATGCTAGTGGCTTGGACTGAATATTGGAAGGCTGGACTAGATTGCTACGTGAATTAGTAAAAACCGAGGGAGAGAATTTACTGGAATACCCCTCCTCATGAACACAAACAAAAAAGCAAGACAAAACATCTGATTATGACCTAAGTCGATTGCAGATATAAAAAGGGGAAAAAAAAAAAAAAAAAAACATGATATTTTAAAATGATTATTAGTAATTGATGTAGCAGTTACTGTAATCTTTTCTTGTTCAATGTTGTCTTCCATGTTATGTCTGAAGCCTATTGACTAAGATATTTAATTTTATATTGTGATGTATTCCAGAAAGGGTTGAAGAATGTGTTCGACGAAGCAATATTGGCGGCGCTGGAGCCCCCAGAACCCGTCAAGAAAAGGAAATGCGTACTGTTGTAATGCGCTGGCGCACCGCAACGCGCGTCCCACGCGGCGCGACACCAATAACAAACTTATACTAACATACACTGTAATATTCAACTTATTTTTATCAATTTACAATTACTGAACACAAGCCATAAATAAAAATAATGAATATTACAGTCGCTAAACATGCGTCTTAAAGCTGGACATATTCTATTCAGGCCTGACAGTTTTCCATTTATTAATAATTAATATTATCTAAAGGACATTTTTATACTATGTCATTTGTCTTTGATATAAATTAATTTTTATTTATAATGAATAAGCCATTTATACCAATATTATTATTATGCATTATATTACATAAAAAGGATTGTCTTCGAAAATTTAATTAATACAAAAAAAATTGTAATATGCATTTAATATACTATCATTTAAATGCAGATTGTATTATCATCAAGCTAATAAATTTGATAATAATTCAACAGTCACATGTTTGCCGGACTGTATTTAGCAACATGATGCACAACGTTTGCTATGCACAGTGCAAACTTGCATTTTATTATTATTATTTCAGTGAACTAGAATGGAGTCTTATGTTAATCATATTTTGTAACGCCTGTCGAGCGACAGCCGTCCATTTGTGTCATTTATAATTTCAATGTGTTCTTATTATTTTAATAATGTTTTTAGAAAATTGACCTAACTGATTGTAGTTTATACGGAAGAACAGCTTCAGAACACCAATTACTAATGTAGATTAGCATAATTATTTTTCTAAAGTAAGCTTCAAAATGATTTAATAATAAATGCTAGGAATCGATAAAGCAATATGGTGTCTATACAGAGTATATTATTATAGTGAAATATCAACAATATTTATTATTATGTTACTTAGCTTGATGAAATTGTAATTTTATCGTACCTTACGTGTAGTATATGACTGAAATAAATAATTGTGCATTCCATGCGAAATCTTTGCATTTTTTATAAATAAGAGATACAAGCGGTATGCACGATAGGTGAGCATACGCGTACATGTGACGAGTAAAACAAAATTTGCTTGAAATAAGCTGGTGCGAATGCGTTAAAAATTTGATAAAATTAAATCATGGATTATATTTCAGGTTAGCAATTTCAAACTGAATGGTGATAATTTCGTCCAATCAATTCGCGCCAGAGTAAAACTAAACTAGTGCAATAAGCTGTGGGGATAATATACTCTGTATAATTTCACTGCATTCGCAGCACACGTGTCGTCCAACGTTCATGACCAACGTATAGGTACTCACTACCATTTGTATCACAAACGGTACGACCATCCATTTTGTCGGTCGTACGTAATATCTACAATTGTTCAATAGCTAATTGATACATTTATTCTTCCCATGACTGCGGTAAACATACATTCTAAATAAATACCTTATGAAATAATATAATATGGTATGTTGTTATAAAGAGTGTTAAGTAAAGCCTATATCATAAACGCTCAGAAGAGCCGAAGGGCGCTCGGCGTTAGAGTATTATATCTACAAGTTGTACCCGTTCGCGTAACGGCTAGCATCACATTGGATTGGGTGCAATATATAGGGAGTCCCGTTTGTATTAATCCTAACGGAATATTCTTTTTTTGTATAATGTATATAATTATACTTACTTTTATACATTCTCTTCCTTTGAAGCAGAAGTCTGCGTAAATACAATAAGGCACGTTTTTATTCCTACGATTGGAATCCCTGTATTCAATTAACTTAGTTTAAAGACTTTTTCGGCGCTAAAGTAACACGATAGTACATTAACGAATATTTGTATTCAAGTTTATCTCGTATTATGTATATAGAAATATATCAACATTTGCTACGAATTTGGAATAGAAACGAGTTCTGAAGTATAATTTATTTTGTGTTCTTATAACTTACAATACGCGCGAATTATTTTAAAATGTACGTTAATTATTATTGGATTATTTTATTTTCTTTGTGTCAGTAAGTAGATTTAGGTTGTATATTGCATCAATAAACATAAGAATAAAAATACTTTTGTTATTTAGCACTACCTTTGACCCTTTGCATAGCTAGCAGACTTCTAGTTCTAGACGTCCATTTCCTGTTTGATGATATTATTTATGTGCTATATCATAAAGTAGAAAAATGACCCTTGGTCCCTACTTTTCATACATTAACTTTTTATATTTGAATTGGACGAGGAGCAAGAAGTGATAAATGTAGTTGGAAATGGCGCATAAAAAGTAAAATAATACAGCAACTTAATAATCGTTAAATCGTTATCATTATACTCGTAATAGCCAAACTAAACGGTGCGAGCTACGTTGTGTTGCAAAGCTTTCATTACTAATAAGATTCACAATATCGCATAAAATAATACAATAGGTACGTTAAAACTTTTTTGGAGTTAAAGAGATACGTGAACTATGAACTCTGACCAGCTTTGCGCTAAGCGCACCCTGTATAAATATAGAGACGCGCATGATATCAAGAACTCAAAGTAACCTACCAACCTCTTTAGTAGTCCATTTAAAAATGAATCTCATAGCTTATAGATTTTGAAGTAAATGCCGATGCTATCTTGTTCAGCTTGGTATTATTTTGACAACTTTGACGTAATGATTTTTTAGTGCTTTTACTGTTATCACCCTTTTTATATTTATTAATTAGTTGTCAGTTTATTTTAAAATTAACACGAGCTCACAAATCGTGTGGTATGAAAATTTCAAGTTAATATGGGCGACGGTTTAAAGTTATCTAAAGGTCAGTCCGTTGACATGTCGTACTTAGCCTCACTAGATCCCATACTTACTATTATGATTATCAGGTACCTAACATGAAGTTATTCGTAGCGAATTTTCTATTATTTGTCTGACGAAACTTATGAACAACAATATTTTGTAAACTGATGATGCCTGCAGAGGCAAAAAGCTTTGCGTCATGTGTCAAAATGGCGACAATTTTGACCTGTCGGTTGTTACATACTGGTTTCCTCATGGAAGTTACCTATATTGCACTCAATGCCTAGGACAGTTTCCTCTTGGATGAAGTGATGAGGATTACACTTTCGAAAAGTCCTATGTGGGTCTGCATTGAGTGTTGTCTTCTTTTTTATCTTTTAGTAAAAGAAGGGAGATTTATTGGCAGAATAGTAGGCAAAACATATTAAAAACATGGGGTCACAAACTTCTAAAACTTGAGTTATCTATTACTCGTTACAGGCTCCAAAGCTTTTCTAACCGTGACACTCGTTTCAGATAAGCGTCATAAAAGCTCCAGCAGCTTAGCCGGAGTCGTGCTTGAAGGAACACGCTCCGAGAGGAAACTCGATATAAGGGGTACAATTTTTTTTTCATTTAGTGCCTTTTTCCCGTGTTGCGTATTTTGACACACGTGTGGTCTGCATGCGGATTTTATTATTTCAAACATGTGTGTGTCGGAGACGCACGGTTTTAGGCAATCCGCATCCTAGGAAAAACTCACCCACGTATTATCTAAATCTACGTTCAAAATAACACGTACCTATCACATTTTAGCCTCTATACCAGAAGTGGATGACCAGTTTACCATCGCAGAAGCACGATGCGATGATTTACAAGAGAAAATCGATTTAGTAAAAGTGTTGAAAAGAAAAAGAAAACTAAAAAAAAGAAGGTTGGTTTGTTTTGAATTTTTTACAGATGCGAGAATCACAGTTTTAGCTTGTTAGTGTCATTTAATTTTGTACGAATTCAAAGCTGTTTTCGCTGTTTTAGTAGGCTTATCACAACTTAGTTCATCGCTTGGATAGATTTAATAAAGTAACTAGGTGATCAGTTATTCAGTTAGAAAACCGACGATTTCGATCACCTAGGTCTCAAAGCTAAGTAGCTACTTTATCGATTAAGATATAGGTAGATAAAAATGTGCAGTTTGAAAAGGAACTCGTTAATAAACAATTGTCGTCCCCTCAGCACGACGCGAATGGCGGATCCGCCGGCAATCAACGAGAACATGCCGCTTATAACCGTGCGGACACAGCCCAAGAAAAGTAAGCACTTACATCTATTGATAAATAAAATTAAATTCGCTTCATTTATCTATAAAACTTGAAAAAAATCGAGTTGTCTACAGCGTAACGTAACCGATACCGATACTCCTCCATCCAGCTAAGCTGAAATGCATTGTTACCGTCACATTTTTTGGATTTGGATATTCCACGCGGGCACATGGCTCGTAGAACTGGTGGTCATTGGGGAAAAAAGTGACCAGAAGACATGTAGGCCTCCCTCTCGGTGGGTCGACGGACGATATACTTAGTGAAAGTTGAGGGAGGAGCCTGAATGGAGCACCGGTCGTTGTGTAAATCTTTGGGGAGGCCTTTGTGCAGAGTAGACGTTTTGTAGCTGATACGATGCTGAAGTCTAAAGGTTCGGCCAAAGCAAGGCGTGCAGCCTGAGTGCGCGATGGCGATCAGATGTCGTGTATGAATTTGTAGCGATGAGTTCACATCAACGCGTTCTGTCGCGGCGATCTACGCGCAGTGATCGCCATCGCCATCGCCGACGCGAGCTGCAGACGGTTTGGCCGAAGCTTAACAGAGTTATCTTAGACCGCGGCAGTCCTTCTGATTACAGAGGTGTCGCAGCAGGCAGCGCGGCTGCGGCGGCTGGAGGTGCCGCCCAACCCGGCGCGAGGGTACCTCGACCCCGCCACGGTGGAGCAGCACCGCATGATCGGACAGGTGCGCGGGTACAACCAGATGTACAGGCCGTTGGAACAGCCGAGGGTAAGTCTCCACCTCAGACCGGCCGGGGAATTCTATTAGATATTAATTAATTTTTTTTTTAAATTGGATGTCGAGTTTATCAAAAACATCTTTGCTCTTGCAGTCCAGGCAGAACGCCGAACTCATGCACGCGGCCCCGAGGATTCGTCGCCGCGCGCGCGCCGATGGAGATGGTAAGTTACGTTTTCAGCTCAACTTCCATGAAGTCATGTTTCCGTATTTACAAAAGAAAACCTATTTAATTTATGTATGTAGGTCAAGGTACGTTTATTCGTTGTATTGTATAGTATCTACATACAGACGACGGTACGGCTAAATAAAATATGGTGGCTTAGTAGTTATTTCAGTTTAAAAAGGCAATTTAAAAAAAATTGTCTAGTGTGACGCTGCAGTCGTTTGTTCATAGCTAACCTTATGTCAAGAATTGCTTAGGCTGGGTTCTTGGACGAATTCGTCCAAGGCTGGGTTACACCACCTAACTTTAACCGTAACTAAAACGATAACCGGTACTTTTAGTTTGGGACTTGATGAGCACTGTAATGTTTCGAAATATATTTACACTCGACATAAATAAATCGCACCTCCCGCGACAAGTATTTTCAAACGTACCTATGCATCCCCACTTCCCACCAATATTTGGCACCATTTAAAAGCCTCGTTCTAAACTTCATTTCAAGGAAAAGATTTTACCCCAAAAATGTGTCTTTAGAAGGATCCAGAGTCACTTCTTCAAAAAATAGGTAGTTACGACTTACGCTTGAGCCAACTTTTATGGCTATAAAACTGTTAAGTTGGGTTTAATCGCTATCCATCTGTTAAAGAGGACACGTGTGATCATTATATGGTTTTATAACCATAAAAATTGGTCTAATTGATCCCAGAGGTGAGCCCAAAGTGAGGTCATTTTTCAGGTCACATTTTATGGTGACTTACTTGACTTATGGTCCTATGTCCCCTAGATGGGGCAGAGGGTTACACATTGGTACATTTTATGGTAGTTAATCATTTATTAAGTAATTCAATGTATTTTTCTTTAAGGATATTTATTGGGCTTTCAAATAACACCAATATTGTTGGGGCACCATGATTGTGTAAGAAGAAAATCTTTAAAGTTCTCGTCGGAAGGTGCGATTTATTTGATGTTGAGTGGCGTTATTTGACGCTATCGTCATTCGGCGCCATTTGTGTTGCAGCCATGACGTCGTGTGACGTAGGCGTGTGCGGGCAGGGCGTGCAGTTCAGCAGCGACGGGCCGCTGGAAGTGGCGTGCGGCGACGACGACCTGGCCGACTTCTCGGACAACGACGTCTTCGACCATCGCAACGACTAGTAAGTTTTAGAAAAATTCTAGCATCACGCGTGCTTTGGCTTCTTCTTGTTTGCCTAGCCCATTCCCATTTTATTTGGGGTCAACCCTCCGGCTCGGTCCTGAGTCGTCTTACTGCTCACCGATGTTGACTTGGGCCACTTTAAGGTCCTTATTTACTATTCGGGGTCTTCCTCGTCCTTGGGGTTTAGTTTGGATGTCTAGCACTTTGTGGTATGTTATGACCACAAAGTGCTAGGTCGGGACTCGTGCTATGGATTAAATTGAGAAATATCCGTGTACAAAACGTGTGTTGGCGCGGAAAGGTCTGGACCGACATACTGGTAGAGGTGAAGGTCGCGGAAAGCATCTGGGCAGCGCTGGGCCGTTATTTGTGGAAATCCTTGCCTTGTGGGAGAGGCCTACACCTACTTACATAGTGTACGTCTTGGTTGAAACGAGTGCCCGTCACTCACTCGATCCTTATCTTCGATCTCCTTCATGTTTGCGCTACGGGTCCAATGCCAGTTTAACTTTAAACTGGGGTGAAGTTCGCCTATTGGTTGGATTTTTGTTGAGGGTCAAGCTTCAGCTCAGGATCTGAAGATACTGACTACACAGGAGTTGCAGCGGTAGCGGTGCTTAATTCAGGCTGAAGACCTGACAGTATGTTATGATCATGGTAAAATTATGTATCTTCGATCACACTCTAATCGTTGGTCTCTGGTACTTACAGCGCGGCGATGCCGAATAA